AAGTGGTCTTCAGAGTATGACAAAAAGATCTTTCTCAATGGCAAATACTGTAAGAAACTCAAGGAGGGGAAATTGAATAAGAAATAGGGGAGCCTTTTAGTTTTCACCCTATTTTTATGAGGCTAATACGTAGAAATTGGTTTTTAGATGTTCAAATGCCCAATGGATTTTTTTAAATTTTATTTTATTATGTTATGTTAATCACCATACATTACATCATTAGTTTTTTGATGTAGTGTTCCATGATTCATTGTTTGCATATAACACCCAGTGCTCCATTCGATACATGCCCTCTTTAACACCCATCACTGGGCTAACCTATCCCCCTCCCCCAGAACTCTCAGTTTGTTTCTAAGTTCATATTCTCTCATGGTTCGTCTCCCCCTCCAATTTCCCCCCAAAGGATTTTTTAAATCCCCAAAATAATAAGAGTTCATATTCTACATGTACTTGTCAAAATATTTCTGGAACATAATACAGGTATTTTAAGTTGAAGTGTGTATGTTTCTAGTTCTTACAGAATTATGTGATATTTGAAAACAAAATTCATACACAGAGAAATAAGGGTATGAAGAGAGAAAATCTAGAAGCAAAATAAAAATGCCGTATCACAAGGGCTAGAGAAATGAGTCAAAGAGAAATAAATCAACTATACCTTTGATTTTCCCAAATGGCAAAATAAATGTCAATGAAATAAACCAGTGGCTCTCAAAAGTGTGGTCACCAGAAGGGCAACATTAGCATTACCTGGTATCTTAGTAGAAACACAAAGCCTATGGCTCCATCCCAGACCTACTGATCAAGAACTGTGGGGACAGGGCTCAGGAATGTATATTCTAACAATCCCTCCTGGAGATCCTGATGTCCTTCAAGTTTGAGAACCACTGAACCATTCCAAACCACACCCCACTCATTTTTCACTTATGTGAATGGACAATTGGTCTTAATATTTATTATGAGGATTAAATAAATGGTCACAATTGAAAAGAAAAAAAATAAAATGTCTTTAAAATAGGTTTGAATAGCATCAATGGACCTCGTGTTTTGTCAAAATATAATTAATATGAGTATCTTTTCACTAATTTCATGAAACTAATATTCTACACAAGAAGAGAAAGATCTATCATCAAAACCTGCTTTAAAAGACTTAAAAATATTTCACATAAATATTAGGGAGATATTTCTCATTTGCAATTTACTAATTACGGAACCTCTCCATATACTGCTTCATCTATCATTGCAATTATATATTAGTTAGCACAAGTAACATCATTTTTGTTCCAAGATTATTATTTCATACTAGGATTTTCAAGTTCTCCAGAATTTTTTTTTAATTTGAAAGTGTTTCAAAAATACCCTCATGAGTCTACAATAATACCCTCAGAATTAAAGCGACATTTCTGAATCAGAAAATTTTCTCCTTTTCTCCTATTTGTTTCACTCAGCTTTGTTTACCTAATCACTGTCTTCACATCTATTGTATAAAATGACAGATTTCCAACTAAAAGCTCAGTAAACGCACACAGTAGTCAACTTTAATTGTAAAAAATTACAAAACAAACTTTAAAGCATTTCTACCAATGTAAAGCTCTGTGGGAAATTTTCTCAGAGTATTGTGGATGATTATTATGAGCAAAATAATTGAGGTAAGGTAATGTTACAATAACGATCTGGAACTGTGAGTCAAATGAGTAAGATTAAAGGCACAAAGAAACTCTTCCTAATAAACAAGCAGATAACTGCTGGAAAGAAAAATATGTTCCTTATTTGAAATTAACTGCCAAACATTCTCAACCTACACAAAGCTGTCATAAAGGACATCTAAATCTGTCCTTGTTTGTAACATGTGTTGTGACAAGATTTGACAGTTTATCAAAGAACTATAATTGCCACCTAAACATCTAGCATTTTGTCAACTGCAAGTATGTTTAGTGAAAGCATTTATTCTACTTAAAATACAACAACTGTTTTTCTCCACTTTCTAAAAGAATTGACTGAATTTCTTTTCTCCTTAGCTGATCAAGCTGCATCAGGGCTCTCTCTTTGAATTATTTATGTTGGAATTGGGAAGGGTAAAAGAATAATCAGTAAAACAAGAAAGTATTTCCAAGGTAATATATATATATTCTGGGTATTGACTCAAAAGACCTTCAAAATATAGCAATTCTCACAGATCTGTAGAGATGACATTTAAATATGCTTGCCTTGGGAAGGAGAAAGGTAGGCATTTTCTCTATACCACAATTTATTTATCCAGAGTTATTTATTAAGGGATGCTGTCTTAAATACAGAGAATGTGTTCTTCAATAGGCACTATTCCTACCTGTAACTTCTGTTCGAAACAGCCAATAAGATAGATGTCTTTCTCTACCTACAGAGACCAAAGTAAACAGGAGCTAAATCCCCTTGCAATAGATTCACATAACAGAAATGTCAGAGTAATAAAGATATTTCCATGACACTGCCAATCGTTCATATCTTTCAGGAAATAATTTTTTAAAGAATTTTCCAGTCTCAGGTTTGGGGCTTTGCTCTTTGTTGTAGCTGTTTGATAATAAAAAATGCCATTTTTAGGCAAAATTTTCTGCATGCCTTTTAAATTTTTCCTTCATTCTCATAAACCTCAAAGAAAAAATGATACAGTGAGAAAAACCCTATTTGGAAATTCAGGAATCCCATATTTTAGTGTACACTCTGCCTTTAATTAGCTGTTTGATCCCAGACAAGTTGCTTTATTTCTCTGGGCCTCGGCTATCTGTCTGTCAATCGGGTTGTTGGACTGGAAGGTCTCGAAGGCCATTTCCATCTTTAACATTTTATGATTTTAGACAAATCCCTGGAACTATGAGGTGTTGCAACAGCCAGAACTTGGAGCAAAAATAGCAGCAAGACAAAAATTTCTCCTACTTGACACCTCAAGGAAAATGCAACCAACTATTTGTTTTTAATGTTTACATTAGCATTCAGTCCTATTTAGGCAATAATAAGTCTATTTAAAAATCTGTTTTGTTTTTCTTTAAAAAGTGAAAAATGTGTGACACATTGAGAACACTAAGAGAAAAATCATTTTAATTGAAGCTGCAAGTACTTTTTAGTGCTGCTAAATTAAGCTACAGAATTTTCTTCAGAAATCACTGTATGTAGTCAGGCTGAGGATGAGAATTATATAGTATAGATGGTTCTGCTGATTTTATGATAGGAAGGAACATGAATGGAGGGTTGTGGACAGAAATGAGCTGACAATGCACTGTCAACCGTGAAGAGTCTGAATTGAGGACTGGGAAGAAGTTGATTTTGGGGAGAGATGTGATTGCATTAGCAGCAGGACATTTTGGTTTAGTCTTTTTGACATAGCTGTTTACGTGGCTTTATAATAATAAACCATTTAATATAAATACACTTTTTTTTTCCAGCAAAGTAATGTGTTTCACAGACACTGCCAAATCTTACCCATTTCTGTTGCCTAATCCAATTCCTGAGCTTATCCCTTCCGTGAACCCAATCCGGTGGGGGAGCTTGAAGGTGGGATGTGAAAATATATTCAACAAATTACTCAGTAATTTCAAAATACGAAAAAATGGTTATTTGATTTTAGGCTAAATCAAAATGTTTCAGAACCAAATGTCAGACACACAATTAGCAGGATAAAAGTGTATGATCTATATATGATGCCTCCATTATTTTTATGACACAGTTTGCTATTGAAATTCCTGGTATCTGTGGTCCCTTCCACTTCTTTCCCCATTACTCTAACCCCCAGGGCACTTTAGAAGCTATGTACTCAAAATTTGCTAACACTTAATCATCTTATATATTAGTGGTTTTTTAATTATAAAAGTAATGGAAGTTCAAATACTACGTTGATAGATGGCAATAAAACGTGACAGTCCTCCTTCATCCCAAACTCCCACCAACCTATTCCCCTCTCCAAAGATAATCATAATAAAAAGAACCTCCACAATGATTTGATGTTTTGACTATTGCTTACTATTAAATACATAAATTTCATATTATGCATATCTTTTTGACTGGGTTTTTTACATTTAGAAATATCTTGGGGATATTTCCATATGACTACACATAAGTCAGTTTCTTTAGTGGCTGCTTATTTGATAATTTACATTATATGATAATACATTATATGATAATTTACCTATTGATGGACATTTATTAGTTTCCAGATTTTGCTATTATAATTCTAGAGAGATTCCTATTTGTCAAGCACCATCTTGTATTCTGTAAATGGTACAACACTTGACACACAGAATACCTCAGGAAATATTGACAGAATGAATTAATACAGCAATAAATAACATTATCAATATATTTTGGGATTTGGGGGATGCCTGTGAATATTGCTACTGAGTAGATTCCTAGAAGTAGATACATCCAGTCAAAGGTTATACAAAATTTCCCTTGCAAAATTTACACACTTACACATTCTATTACAATAGAGGAGTTAATCTATCTTACAGTTTTGGCCCACCTGATGTGTGAAAATGATTGGCATTTTCCTGATTACTAGCACTTTTTCGTATGTTTATTACTTCCTCCCCTCCCCCCCACCCCAGCCCCCGTCCCCCTGTGAATTTTCTATTTATACTACTTCCAAACTGTTTTGGTCATCTTTTTCCTCACTCGATTGGAAAGAACTCTGCCTAAAATATATTTTAGACATTTTCTCCAGTCTGTAACTTCCCTTTTAAACATAAACATCTTTTACGCTGCAGAAGTTTTACATTTTTATGTGTTTCAATTTGTTTTGCAGCCCTAGGACACTACTACAGGCACCAATAGAAGAAAAAAAATCCATGAACTGAAGAAAGACTTGATTTTTTTAGTTTAGAAGTGTGAAGCGGGTGCCAAACAGGAATTTTTTTCTAAAGACCCGAGGTCAACTTAGAGCAGCTCGCAGCCGGAAGTGGGACTGTAACCGCCCTGTAACAACCGGAAGTCCTTCGTTAGTCCGTGGTCTGACGTCGGTTGGGATCTTGGCCGCAGCGGTGATCGCTGGACGAGGAGTGCCTGGAGTGATTGGCCAAAATGCCAAATATCAAAATCTTCGGTGGCAGCTCCCACCAGGAGTTATCTCAGAAAATCGCCGACCGCCTGGGCCTAGAGCTAGGCAAGGTGGTCACCCAGAAATTCAGTAACCAGGAGACCTGCGTGGAAATTGGCGAGAGTGTGCGAGGAGAGGATGTCTACATAGTGCAGAGTGGTTGTGGCGAAATCAACGACAGCCTAATGGAGCTTTTGATCATGATTAATGCCTGCAAGATCGCTTCAGCCAGCCGGGTTACCGCAGTCATCCCATGCTTCCCTTATGCCCGGCAGGATAAGAAAGATAAGAGCCGGACCCCAATATCCGCCAAGCTTGTGGCAAATATGCTGTCTATAGCAGGTGCAGATCATATCATCACCATGGATTTACATGCTTCTCAGATTCAGGGCTTTTTTGATATCCCAGTAGACAATTTGTATGCGGAGCCAGCTGTCCTGAAGTGGATAAGGGAGAATATCCCTGAGTGGAGGAACTGCATTGTTGTCTCACCAGACGCCGGTGGAGCTAAGAGAGTGACCTCCGTTACAGACAGGTTGAACGTGGACTTTGCCTTGATTCACAAAGAAAGGAAGAAGGCCAATGAAGTGGACCGCATGGTGCTAGTGGGAGACGTGAGAGAGCGTGTGGCTATCCTTGTGGATGACATGGCTGATACCTGTGGCACAATCTGTCATGCCGCTGACAAACTTCTCTCAGCTGGAGCCACCAAAGTTTATGCGATCTTGACTCACGGAATCTTTTCTGGCCCGGCCATTCCTCGCATCAACAGTGCATGCTTTGAAGCAGTAGTAGTCACCAATACCATACCTCAGGAGGATAAGATGAAGCATTGCTCCAAAATACAGGTGATCGACATCTCCATGATCCTCGCGGAAGCCATCAGGAGAACTCACAACGGGGAATCTGTTTCCTACCTATTCAGCCATGTCCCTTTATAATAGAATAACTTTGAGTTATTCTCTTTTTAAAATAAAATACGGTAAAATAAAAATAAAACATACCCTGCCCCTTGTTTTTTCTTGGAATTTGATGGAAAGTTCAGTAGAAGACCCAGCTTCCTCGGGTGTGACTTTCTGCATCCCACCTCAGGTATATTAGAGTTTATCTTAAACTGAGGAAAGACAGATTGAGGATAATTGCTGGGATTTTTCTCTCTGGGTTGTCTCATTCTGGCTTCTTTATTTTCTGAACCTTGCAGGTTTAACTACAGCTCAGCTACTGATTTCAGACTTCAAGGGTGTTGTGTGGAGGTATTTGAAAGTGATTAGGGAAGTTTAGAGTACATGTGAATGCTTCAGGATAACTAGCAACTTCAGCCAACCTGATCCACCATCCTCACCACTACCCTTTGCACCATCTTCTACTCCCTTTTCTTCCTCCTCCTCTGGGCTGCTCCCCCTCTCATTTGTCACAAGTTCTTCGAGATCCGTGTTAAACCCATTGCGAGACCAGAGTAGCAGCCTTCAGTTTGAACAGCCCCTGGGTAGAATCATGAGAGGAAGCTGCAAAGTGCAGCCAATGCTTCTGAAGAGGAAGAAGAGGCATCTGTCACCATCTGTTTTGAGAATATATATATGGGATTCTCCACAGTTGGCGGGGGCGGCGGGCAGAGAGGGAAGAGGGATAATCTCAAGCAGACTCCCCACTGAGTGCAGAGCCCCCTGTGGGGCTTGATCTCAGGACCCTGAGACCATGACCTGAGCTGAAACCAAGAGTCCAACACTTAACTGACTGAGCTACCCAGGTGCCCCTGTATCTGTAACTTTTAGTTTTACCTCCAACCACCTTGACCTTTTCTGGGACAAATATCCTGTTGGGTCCAAATGATCAGTGTGCCAGTCCTCTGGAAAGCAAATCCACTTCCTGCTATGCAATCTCTTAACATTTGCATTAGATGTTTTTGCTGTAGCTTCATCTTAGCCTACTGCCACCATGATTATAGATTTTAGGTGATGTTATAGTGCCTTTTGATTAAGCATTTACCTTTGTCCTTCCTTGTATTTGGTTGGCATCTCAGAGGACCTCAGATTTATATTTAAAAATTGGTACTGTTGTCCTCCTGTTGGGAAAACTAATAAAATGTCTGCATGTATGTGGAAAAAAAAATACACATCTGGACATATCATGAAATTTCTGATCTCCAAGAAAATGCACACAGGCCCTAAAATCTCCTAATATATAAAACATAAACAGGGTGATTTTAAAGGAACAGTATTCAGATTACTGTTAGAGTTCTCATTTGATCTCCCAGGCAATAAGCAAAATGGAAAAAAATTTTTGCATTCTGAAGGACATTATTTTCAATCTAGATTTCTTGCCCAGACAATCATTTAATTTTGAAGGCAGAATTAAGGCATTTTAATATATTAAAAGACTCTGGAACTTTACTACCATGAATGCTTTCTGAAAATATCACTTAAGCATACTGAAAATTAAAAAATATATACAACTAAGAAAAACACATGAATTAAAAGAGATAATGGTGAAAATGATATAAAAATAATTTTTCATGAAGTTATTATGAAGATTATCACAGCTATTAAGATAAAATTCACATAAAAATTGAGCCACAGTATAAAGTGAATTATTTTAAAATCTATAAATAAAATACCAGATGATATCCACAAAGCATGGGAGGTTAGGAGATGTTAGGGTTGGTCTAAGTATATTAATAATCTTACCTAGTTTGGGAAGGAGGTACGGACACAAATATTTACATTATAGCAAAAACTGTGTTTACATATGTTTTATAAAATACAAGGACAAGCAAGATAAAAATGCAATGAATTACTTGAAAATTCCTAGACAGAAAAAAAATGCATAATGGCAATTATAATGGCATAATGGCACAATGAACAAAGTAAAAAAATCCAGCTGAAGATAGGAAATAAGGAAGAAAATATGGCAAATAGCAAATACCAAATATATGTTAAACTAAAGTCAATGCATTAGCTAGAGTCAAGATGTTAAATTAACTTTATGAAAGAAATTATTAGATTGGGTAGCAAAATTATCTAATGATAAGCTGTTTACAGGAGATAAACCTAAATAAAAATTTTGATAAAAAGGGATGATGAAAAATATATCAAGTAAATGCTCACAGAAAGAAACAAGGAGGGATTTTCAGTCAAAGTAAACATGGAATATGTTTTGCTGATTAAACCCCTCCAATAAGTTACAACCATCAAGAATCTTTATGCACCTAACAGCTCAACATTGAAATATAAAAAGAAAAACAAGTGAGAGTATGAGGAGAAATGTATAAATTACATTAACAGAGGGAAATTTTAACAAAACTCTCATAAATAATCAAGATATTTTAATAACTACATATGGAAACTAAACAGATAATTCACATTTTCCAGCATGAATGAAAACATTTATGATATTAAAACTAGTAATAGGTCACCAAAAAGTCTTCACACATTTTTTAAAAAGAAATTTACATAGACCGTATACTCTAAAGAGGATTTACTACAGTCGTCTTGACAATCCTGTGAAAAAATAGAACTATCAGTAAAATAGGAATAGAATGAAGCTTGCTTGACCTGATAAAGAAAATCCACCAGAGACAAAGATATAATTAATGCATTCCCACTACAATCAGTCAAATTTCTAAGCCAGTGGAATAAGGCAAGAAAAAGAAGAGAGCAATATTGGGAAAAAAAAAAAGTCAAAACTGTCCTTATTTATAGATGTCATTATTGTCAACAAGAAATCCAACAATCAAAAGAAAATCTGTCTGTTCCTACAGGAGGTCAGGAGAGTGACTACACATAAGATAAATAAAGTAATTGCCTCTCCTAAATACCAGCAAAACATAATTTTAGAATATAATTGAAAAAATTGTCCACAACCTAGGGCAATAAAATCTGCAAAATAACCAGTAAGAAACTCCCAACACTGTAGGACTGGTATGAAAAAAGTTTGCTAAAGGATATAGAATATATGAACCTGGAGAGGAAGAACAATTGAAAGTTTTCTCAAATCATCTAGTCAGTGTAACCCCAATCAAAATCCTAAGAGGATTAAAAAAAAAAACCAAAAAACCATACTTGACAAGCTTTTCTTGAAGTTCATCTAGAAAAATAATTAATAAAAATATTCAAGAGATTTTTCAAAATGTTTTTGTATTATAATATATTAAAATATTATAAAGCTACAGGAATTAAGACTGTTGTGTTGATGCAGGAATGAACACATAAATCGATATTACAGAATTTAGATTGCTGAAACAGACCTATGTACACTTACAGGAATTTAGTATACCCATACCCTTTTTAATGGAGAGATTGTGTTACTGGAAAAAGAAGCATAACTGAATCAATTCTCTAGGAGAATCACTATCACAAAGTCTCTATGGAGGTGCTTTCCTGATATCCTGCCTTGGCAACCACTCCTGTAATCTACTCAGATTCTCTGAAATGGGGATGAGACTCCTGCCACAATTTTTTCCTTAGGTATCTTCATATAATTGTTGGTCAATCCAAATGACAGTGATGCTTATAATGGGCTCCTTAATGTAAGTTGACACTGACCAATATCTATCTTCTTGATGATCTTAACTTCCTGCTTACTTGATTCTATTCTGGAAAGCACCTCCAGCCTCTTCAAGACTTCTACTTTAAGTACCATTATAACTCTATTACCTTGTATATATGAAGTATACCCAATGTTATTTCCACACATTTAACTAGTCATTTTGGACAAACTGTTCTCAGAATACAAAATAAATGAAAGAGAGGCCATAGCATAGTAAATAACTCACATAGCAGAATATATTCATCCTATGGTTAGCGAAGTAGCAGATTCTCTGGCTGAAAGCTATAGTGTACTTATGCTTATTGGTCAAGAACTGTTTTATACAGCCCATCACACTACATACCAGCTTCTATCAGATGAGAGCTCACAACAGTACTTAGAAGCTGAAGGGGAGGAAATGTGTGTATGTGTATATATATATATAGTTGGCCCTTGAACAAGTTGAGAGTTAGAGGTGCTGACCCCACACACAGTCGAAAACCCTCTTATAACTTCTGACTCTCCCAAAACTTAACCACTAATAGCCTACTGTTGACCGGATGCCTTACCAATAACATAAGCACCAAATTAACACGTATTTTGCATATTACACATACTATATACTATATCTGATAATAAAGTAGACAAGAGAAAAGAAAATGTTATTAAGAAAACTATAAGGAAAAGAAAACACATTTACAGTACTGTACTATTTTTATTTAGAAAAATCCGCATGTAAGTGGATAAGCAGTTCAAATCTGTGCTGTTCAATAGTCAACTGTGTATCTATAGGGGTATGTATGCATATATATATTTGTATATATATTAAAATTAATTTTGCCAAAGTGGCATTCAATCAAGTATGCATATATATGACAAAATTGGCATATCATGTCATTAGATAAATAATGTACTGATCAATCAGTGATGCTGGATAACTATTAATTGGGAAACCAGTTTTTTCTAATCCTTAAATGATGCATAAAAATAAATTCCAGGAGAAATGGTCATAAAAAATAAAACTGTAAAGCACTGGAAGAAAATGTGGAGTAACTTTTATACTCTTGTAATGGAGAAGGCAGTAAACTGTACAAACTTTCAGGCCTAAAAGCACACTTTGAAATTTTACCCTCTCACTTTTAAGAACTATACTCATGAATTATCTCTTTCGGCAAAATTCTGAAGCCTGTTGGTCTAAAGGTAGAGACAGTCATAACGATTCTACTGCTCTTTAATATATTCATTAAATTCATTCAGTTCAACAGACTGATCATAGATCATTACCGTTCTCAATACCCAATACCTCTCTGGAGGTTTTTTTTAGAAATTTGCTACAAGGCTTCCTTTTTGAGGATCCTATCTATCTCTATGAACTTCCCGTGCTTTCATTCTATTAGGATTTATTGGCAATTGGTTTCCATATATTTTATATCACATGGGAATTACTTACTTTTCTGATCTTT